TTTTTTTTTTGGTACCGGGGATCGAACTCAGGTCCTTGCGCTTGCACAGCAGGTGGCGAAACCACTGAGCTAAACCCGGCCCTGCTCATTTTCTCAATAGCAGACAATGCTTGGGTCTTTCCCTTCACAGAGAGGCAGGATGGACTGATTGGTGCCATTGTGGGTGACCTCTCAAGCCTCAGAAAACACATTTCTTGTATAGGTGTAGAGAAACCAATCGGAGACTGGGATCCAGTATTAACTAGCTATTGCACAGTCAAAGGAGTGAATTGTGAATCATTTCTTTGAAATCTTGACCATGGCAGCTTTACTTTAACTATGCCTCTCTCTTTTCTATACACAAGGTAAGAGTCTTAGCACACCCAGCAAGAATCTGAATTAACAGAGGTTTCTCACCCTAAGTAGGCACTGAAAAGGAAAAAAATAACAGATTGTAATTTAAAAAAGAAAAAGAAAAGCTTTTAACCCTTGGCCATTCCTTCTACCACCGAGGAGAATAACTGAATAAGATGATAAGAGCATACACACAGGGAGGCAGCTGGGGTCATGATTAAGAGAAAGCACTAAAGTCAGCCACCTGGGTTTAAATCCCAGCTCTACCACTTAAGAGCTGTATACAGTCAAGTCAGTTAGCCTCTCTGTGCCTCAGTTTCCTTATCTGTAAAATGAGGTTAATAATAATACCAACTATCTAGAACTGTGTTGAGGATTATGTGAGTTAATGCTTGAATGCCTTGCTAATATTCTAGCATGTCCCAGCCTCTCAGGGACAGATGAAGGCTACTTGATACAGAAAATGAGGACAGTTCTTAGTCTTGTTCCCCCAAAAGTTCATCCATGAGTCCAACTCTAGTGTTTCTGGCTGGAATCTAAAATTAAATGTAGGCCTTAAAGAGAAAGTTCACACACACACACACACACACACACACACACACATACATCATCACCATCATCATCATCATGAGCCCACAGCGCTCAGCCCCTCCTTGGGTTCCAGTTTTGTGGGGCACCAGGATCTGAAGTGGGACATCCCTGTTAAGTGGCTCCAAAACAACACTAAAGCTAATAAATATTTATCAGGTATATACATCATACCCTATCCTGTTCTGGAGTCTTTGAAGTCTCTGTAGAACAGCATTTTTGAACTTAAAGAGAAGGAAATAACTTCTGAAACTTTTGTTATACCTAAGCAAAAGTAAACTGTTTTACATTTTTCTCATATAGAGCAGGGAAATGCCTACCACCCTTGATAATACGACCTGAAGAACAAATAGCACCAGATGTATAATAAAAGGATATTTTTGAAGTTTTTCA